GTACAGAGATTATTAAATATTTTAGAATATTTTAATATCCGCCGTCGGTGCTCACGGTATTCACTATAATCTGCACTCGTTTTGATCGAAATATTTTTAATCTTCATGGATGCTGTTACGCTTGAATGGAGTAAGAGTAGATCGATACAAACCTCGCGGATGGGGAACAAGCGAGGACGTGATCGGCCAGTTAATTTGTACCAATTCGCGTCTTCAAAATCCCGTGAAATCTCCTATAAACTTTAAACGATCTTCCTCGAACACTAAATTAGATACGTTACCACTGCAATTCGTTTAATTGCCTGTTTTCTATCATTACTCATTTACGCGCAATCAAATCTTTCCACGATCGTCTCATTCGGTGTTTATATGATGAAAATCAGAGTCCGGGCCAGCGAACGACTTACCTGTCTATTGATATGGCGCATAAAGATAGAATGCTGGCAGTACAGAGAAGAACGTCGAGGGAGACCCACGAGTCGCAGAGCACCTCGCCCAACTCCCAGGTACCACCTGTGAGCTTCGTCAAATTCGTCTTATTAGTATCGTACTATCGCGTTTTATTAGAAATCAGCTGCAGCGAAAATTCAACACACGCGCGTTTCAAAAGCCAAATCGATTAGAAGTGACATCATTCAATGGGTTTTTATGTACTCAGCTCCAAATGTGTATTCAACTATTCAAAGAACTACTAATTCATCATTTTGATTCCATAGAAGAATCTCCAGTTACATAATAATTGATTACAATTGCAATCATTATGATTCTAATTACGACCATTCATGAATTTGGTATAGAAGATATTTATTTTATATTGTATTATATTATAAATATTATAAATATTGATTCAATAATTACAGAGTGCTATAATTATATCTTAATTATATTATTTACTTTATTTATTATTCATTCTAATTAAATTATATTAAAATATTTAACTCGTTTACTGACGTCCTCCAACAGTAAGCCAAACTTCTAAAGATTAAACACGCANATTTAAATTAAATATCTTATATGTATGCTTTATAAATAGAAGATATTCGTATGTACTTTATTAAAGGCGTTTACGTATGAATGACTGTTAAAATGGTGATCATTTCCAAACGCAACTCTCTTGACTTTTATGGCACAGGTATATCGTCCTGACGCGTCCGCTTCCACGAACTCATGAAATCTCGCGCTATTGATTTACGCGGCAGCAACATTTGCAGTATCCTTGCACGAACGACTTGAACTTTCCGGTAGGGAAGCGTATGCAAAATCCGAAATGTCTCGCGATCGAGGCACGCACTGTCGTTGACTTATACTACTCAATTCCACAGGTTCTCTGATTTACAGCTCCACTTTGTGCATATACAATATATTCATTCACTCTATTACTGCGTACCTTTTCATGTCAAATTCATAATCGCATTTACCGTTTGCCATGTGCTTTTTTAATGTTAAATTTTGTAAGGCATTTCGTATATTTTTATATTAACTCGTCTCTACATACTGGGTGTCCAAAGAGGCACATTCGGAAATAAGTTTATATGAACCCTTTTCATCTATTTGACCTCGATAATACGTAGACGGTTAGTCCCAAAATTTTCGGACATATTAAATATCTTCTTTAAAGAGAGAGAGACTTTATTATAATAGTGGAACCTCGTTTTTTCGAACCGCGGGATAGCATGCGAGCCTATAGGTTGTCGCATTCGAACTTAAAAACATGATCATGCAACTTCCGGTTTAGGCATATTTTATGTAGTCCGTCCCTCAAGGGTCACTACCTGAGCCTATATTATCCGAACAGCGCTAGGTGCCCCCGGACTGATTGGATAATAATCGAGGTTCTACTATGTTTCAAGTATTTATGTATTATAAATACTTTCATATACCTGTAGCACTACTGCTGGCGGCATGACAGCCAAACCAACCAACAAATCCGCTGCAGCCAAACTGGACACAAAACAATTAGTAACGGATCGTAGGCGCCTCGTTGTTATCACAGCAATTATTACTAGAGTGTTGCCCACCTGCAATACAATTAATCATAGTTATTATATTGACATCTGCCTAAGTACGTTTAATTAACATACGAGGAAGTAATCGTTTCCTGCA